GTGTACTGTCCTGGGAAGTAACAGCCCAGGAGACTTGGGGTGGGGGATCATGCATCTCCCCTGTGGCATTAATGGTGGTGGTACCTGCCGCTCTTAAAAGATACAAGCCAAAAAGCACTTGGGTATCTCTGCTGAGCAAAGAGAGACTGCAGGGCCTCTGCATGGAGGCCCCAGCTCACTGTGGCTCCCGAGGAGGCAGGGCCAGGGTGGTGGTGGGGCTTGGGTGATTGGGCAGAGGGGTCTGCATGCTCAGATCTCTGCCAGCAGGGGCCGGCGACAGCCTGGCCAGGCCAGACCAGGAGTGGCGTCTTCAGCTTCTGCTTTGAGCCACCCCGCCAGCCCCCGCAGTGTGGTGTAGGAAGGCTGCAAGGGGGCCGGCTGGGCTTTGAAGATCCCAGGCAGAATTCTCATTTGCTCTCCTTTCACTGTCTCACCGGCTTGTTCATTTACTCACGGGGCACCAGGGCCAAGGTGGGCATGGGATTTTCCAACCCTGGTAGGTCAGACTGTCAGAACTCCGCACCCTCTGTGCTGACTGCTCGCCATAGGCAGCCCAGGTGGCCGGGGCACAGATGGGAGATGGGTCCCCCTTGACCCAGTGGGCATAAGTCCACGAGGGGGAGAAAGGCAGAAAAGAAGGAAGACTGAGAGGGATCATACCGTCTCTGATCTCGGCCCAGGAAGCAGTCATGAGAAGATCATCTGGTCACCCCCTGTCTTCAGGCAAGTCGTGTTATTATCCCAATGGAAGACCAGAAAGATTAGGTTCCTTGCCCGAAGTCACACAGCCAGTTCCTGGTGGAGTTGAGACTAGAACTGAGGTTGGTGCCAATTACTGCAATGGCTGCTCCTCTGTTTTGGTTTCTTTTTACTCCGGGCTCTTGGGGCTCTTGTTGTCCACATCCCTGCCCACTGGGCTTGAGGGGGTGGTGTGGGGCTGCTCTTGCCTTGGCTTTCTTCTGCCTCATTGTCCCCTGTCCCTGGAGGCTTGTCACAGAGATGCCCCTCCATTACCCTTTCATTACCTAGTATCAACTGATTCCAGAGGAATCCACCAGGCCTCTTCAAGCCCTTCCTTCATCATTCCCTCTCTCCTGAAGTTCTAAAATTTTCTTTGGTTGAACTGGTCCCAAGACTGTGATTAACCTTTTAAGGAAGCTAAAGATGGGGATCTCTGCCTCTTACTATGTTTCTAATCCCTTCCCACTCTGCCCCCAGATATTTCCTTCTTCCATTCTCAGCCTTGGTGGCCATCCACTCATCTTCTGCTGGGTCTAGTTTGGATCAGGAGCTTCTTCAGTGAAAAGGATGGCCAATAAAATATAGGCCTTCCATGCTAGAAACCCAGAGTAGATATTGTGCTGGATAAGCTGGACCCCACCCTTGTACAGGAGAAAACAGGCCCAGAGAGGAGAGAGAATTGCCCACTGTCACCCACCTTGGTGAGGACAGAATCCAGGCCTCCTGATGGAACAATGACTGCTCTTTTCAAATTATCAAGTTCAGAAAGGTGCAAATGCCTGCAGCATGGTTCTTGACCCTTAAGGAGCCCCTTGACTCCCTAAGGTGGACTCTGTCTTGGCCTCCAGGCTGAGCATTTCAGCCCTGTGGGCCTGGGCAGCAGGAGCCACGCTCTTGCCCTGAGCAGACCCTCTGTTTGGGCTGACTGAGCTGGTGGCATATCTTTGGGTAACTCACAGTGTGTTTATTCCTTCTCTCACTGTCTTCTCCTGCCCTGCCCCATTCACTTCTGTCCAGCCCCATGGGAACCTGGAGAGAACACAGAGCCATGGCAAGCCAAAGACAAGGCCGGTACAGCCTGTGGAAGACCTCTCTGGACAGCATGTGAGTAGCCACTGGGTGGTGTCAATTCCCTCCTCCCCAAGATCCCCACCCAAACATTCATTCATCCATCAAGCGTTTATTGAGCTCCCGTTGAGTACTGGTTGCCAGACCAGGAAGAAGGAAAGTCAACTAAGCATGGTCCCTTCCCTAAACAGTTCTCAGGACTGTGAAGAAGAGAGAGACCCAATGACAGAGCAGGGTGATTGGTATTATTAGGGGTGCACAAAAGAAGGGCAGGGAACCTTGCCAATTTTGTATGGGGTATTCCTGGTGGGCTTCCTGGAAGAAGTGACATCTAGGCTGAGACTTGAAGGATGAATAAGCATTATCTTCACCCCAGGTGAAGGGGTGGGAAGAGCAATGTTCTGACAGAACTGTTTGAGAAAAGGCCCAGAAGGGTTCTCTTATGAAGACCTGGTGGTGCCCCTTGAGTCCTAGACCTGGAGGCTGAGAGATTCTAGACTTTCCAGATTTGGCTCCTTCACCCTGACAGAGCTCTGCATTTTGAGATACTTCTGCTTCTGCTCTCAGCTGGTACCAGGCACAGCGTGGCAATGCCACGTGTCCCAGACCACATGTTGCTCTCCTAGGGGAGAGGGGCAGGGTTTTGTGTCGGAAGGTTTGTGGGGTGGGCTTGGTCAAGGGTAGAGAAAAGAGAGATTAGGAACCTGCCAAGAGGAGATAAGCTGGAATCATGTGTGAAACAAATGGAATGTGCAGGTTGGAGGAGGACACACTGAGAGAGGTCTGCATAGCTTGGGCGGCACTGGGCAGGAGCCTTCGAGATCAGGGAGAGGAGGGCTTGTGGTGCTGGCTGCGCGAACCTGCCACATAGGTGCTCTCTTGAGGACCGGGTTGGAGAGTTTTCTCCCCAGACGAGACCTCCTGCTCACAGTCTTCAGGAAAGTGGCAGCTCATGATGTCCTTGACGAGAGTAGATATGGGCATCATTGGAAGGGGTGCCTTTTGGGAAGAGGTTCAAGGGGTTTACATCACTGGGAAGGAGGAATCACGAGAAGGCTTTTCTGAGGGAAGAGAGGCTCTGACTGGGAATGCCTGAGAGGTGATGTGATCAGGAAGAACTCTGGTTTGAAGAAAAGCTGAAAAAGGATTGTGTGCCAAAAGCGTCACTGGGAATTAAGTTGTTGTCCCCAAGCGGAGCACCTGGCTCTCTCTGTCTGAGACAGTTTACCCAATGTGAGCAGGGGGTGCAACTTCATTTTGCCAAACTTACACCTTTGAACCCCAACAGTGCAGCCTGGTTGGGCAGTGAGTTTCGCAGGCTGAGCTGGCTCTTTCCCCAGAGACTCCATAGAAGTAGACCTGGAAGCCCCACGATTTGGGGCAGTTCTGTTTTCCTGCTTTGTGCTGTCCTGGGGCCATCCCCGCTGCTGGGTTGTGTGAAAGTTGAAGCCAACAGTCGAGGGCTCTGGAGCTGGCTGGGGGCAACTGGGTATCAGTGGGAGAGGCTATGACCTCCTGGCACACCCATGCAGAGATGTCATGCTATGGTTCTCTCTGGGGCAGTGACCTGTGGCACACAGAGGATAGGCTGAGGCTCTTCAATACCAAATATGTGGGAAGGACACACCTGTCCTTTTTTCCCCCATGCATGTATTCAAACCAATACATTCTGTTCTTATGGAAACCGATTCCTAACCAGAAGGGTGAAGCGGCACACTCAGTCATCCCTAATCTCTTTTCCAGCTCTAGGCAGGTTCAGAAGGAGGTGGGGGAAGCATTCTCCACTAATCAGGCACTTCTTGAACATGGACCAGGCCAGAAAGCACATTTATCACGAGCACCTTAATGGGCAACTTCCAATTACATGCATTCATAGATGGAAAGCGTACTTCAGAGAATACAAAATTCATTTTTATTTGGCTTTTGGGGGGCAATGCATTTCTCTTCCTAATTATATTTTTGCATAAACTAGCATTAAGCTGGATTTGCATTCTCAGAGCGCAAGCTTGAGGGGGTTAGGTGGAACGCATGTCAGTCTGGGCTTAAAAAATTGTCCAGAGGTAATTGACAAGACGGATAAAACCAGACTGAGCTGGCTACTGTAATTACCAGTAGTCAAGATCATCAGAATCAAAGTAGCTTTGAACATGGAAACTTCTTTTGAGGACTGCTCCTTTACAGATGTCATCCCTTATAACCTCTTTGTTTTACAGGGGAGTAAATCGAGACAGGGAGCCCCAAAGTGTCTTAGACTCCGTCTCCAGGGCTAGTGTCTTCATAGCATTTCTTTTAAGAGGCCGGAAGATGCTGGTAAACTCCAGGCGGCAATAGGCCGGCAATAGGCCGGGTGTGGGATGGAAGCAGAGACTGCTGAAGAGGGAGGGAGGGGGAGAAGGCCTAGATGGGCGAAGGTACAGGTGACAGAGTGACCCACTCTAAAACTCCTGGCACAGGTTGTAGCTGAAGGGCTGGTGATCAAGGAAGGAAGGCCCGCAGGTGCCAGGAAAACTCTCAAGCCAGAGGAGGGCCAGTGTGAAAAGGCTGTTCCTCTCCCCGGCGGGGGAGGGGGCGGGGGGGGCGGGGGGGGCAGGGGTGGAGGCCTGGGTTTAAGGGGGGAGGAAAATATGTCACGTTCTCCTCCCCTAACTCGCATCCCTTCCAGGGCTAAGATGTGTCTCGGAGTTCTTACTCAGCCTCCTGGAGGAAAGGGGAGAAAACCCTGTGTGAGTCCAGCGAGGTCTTGCGCCTTGCCAGGTAGAGGGAGGAGACCCACCACCGGTGGAGAGCCGAGACCCTCCCAGCTTCGTCCCTCCGGGCGGGGGAAAGGGAGGGCGGGCGGGAGGGAGTGAGCGGCGCCGCGGGGCGGGGCCGGGGCCGGGCCCGCCGGTCGCCCAATCCCCTTCTTTCCCCGCCCCTTCCCCGCCCCCAGACCCCTTTCCACCAACGGAGCTCCGCGGTGGGCGGAGCCTGTCGCGGCCACCGGCCTGGGTGCGATTTTTGCCCCCCGTTCTTCCTCCCTGTCTTTTTTTTTTTTTTTTTTCCCTTTCCTTTTTTTGTGAATGAAAACGGGAGGTCGCGAGCGGTCCCCGGGACTGCAGCGCTAGGCGTCTTCGCGGCCGCGCCTTTGGAGCGGGCCGGGCGCGTAGCGGCGGCGGCCTCGCCCCTCTCCTCTCCAACTGCGCGTCGCCTCCAGCCCCCGCAGCCAGAGGACCCGAGGCGGCGGCGCGGCCCAGCCGCGCGAGGTCGGCGGCCGCGCGCAGCCCACTCCAGCGTGCCTCCATGACATTGGGCGCCCGGGGCGCGGGGAGATGCTAATCCGGAAGAGGCAATGGCTGCAGTGCCGCGCGCGCGGCCGCTCCCGGCCAGCCGCCCGGCCTGGGCTGCTCTGTCAGAGTCTCTGATCTAGCGCGACCCGGGCCCGGAGCCTGTAGCAGCGGCGGCGGCAGCAGCGGCAGCGGCGGCAGCGGCGGCGGCGGCGGCGGCGGCGGCGGCGGCGACGCCGGCATCGACCTAACTTGCACGCGCGGAGTGACCCCAGACATTTCACTAAAATGAGCGTGCTTAGCAGGAAGAGATGTGTTCCTTACACTAGAAATTACCCCGTCACATGTAGTGGTGTAAGTAAATGATTAATTTCTATTATGGCCGGGTTGCAAGCTGCCTGGAAACGCGCCGCTTCGCCCTCCTGTGCCCTCCCCGGCCCCATCTGCGCCCCTTCTGAGGACTTCCCCAGCCGCCACCACCCCTCTCCCCTTGGCTATAGCTTTGGCTGCTGGGGTCTCAGGGGGCGGGGGACTAACCTTTTCTGGGTTTTTCTAGGGAAAGGAAGATGACTTGATTGCCTTGGCATGTCGTGGCCCTCCTGTTTCCTCATTTTTTTAAAATTATTTTTATTTCGTGTGTGTGTGTGTGTGCATGTGTGTGTGTGCGTGTGCAGAGCAGCGTGTCAGGAATAAAGGTTCAGAGTGGTGGAAATGTTTCTGTTGAAAACCAATGGAATTTGGATGTTTTGCTCTCCGTTCCGGAGAGATTTCTTTCAACCCAACTCCGTTGCAGTGTGTGCATCAGAGTTCTGGCAAACTATGGGAGAGATGCTTAGTGTTGTTGATGTTTGAGAAGGTTCTTTTTGTGTGTTTGGGTTTGCATTTTTTGTTCATATGATCATTCAAGATCCCTTTGAGCCTTGCGGTTCACTGGATCTGCAGGAGGGATTCATCTCTCCGCCTTCCCCAATATTACAATGTCAGCCAGCCCTGCGAAAAGCCACCCTCTCTGGTCTTTTCTTCCCGATTCCCCTTTCCTCTCCATCCTCCTCGATTTTTACCTTCATTTTGAGGATATTCCTCTCTTTTGCATTTTGTGAGATGCAGGATGTGGGATATTGGTTGCTAGGAGACAAAGCAGGCTCCTAGGGAGATTCTGTCGTTTCCTTGACAACCAGACTAGGGCAGCCACAGATGAACAACCTCCTATCAGCTGTGGGAGGGAAAGGGGGCTTTTCTGGGCTCTGCAAAGAGTGTGTGTAGGGGTGTGGGGGTGGGAATGGTACCCGTTGAGGGTTGTAGCTAATTTGAGCACACCTGGGTTTTTGGCCTGGCCTGAGTGCACAGAGCTGGGAGAGCAGTGGGCTGGAGGCTGATTGTGGACAGGGGGACAGGGATCATGGGACAGGGTGGGGAGGGAGCATCTATGTGACTCTGGGATCACTGAGAGAGAGGAATGAATTGGAGATTGTCATTCCCGGGGCAGGATGGCCAGGAAGCCATAGTGTATTGGAGGTTTGTCTAGAGGCTCAGAACGAATGAGGATGAGGCAATTGTGCGGAAAAGTCTAGAGTCATTGAAGGAGAGAGTGCCAGAAGGGAAGGGGAAGTTGAGAAGCTCATTGAGTGGGTTGTATCACCATACATCAGCAAGGATACAGTAAAGTAGCAATATTCTAAAGCAAAAATTATATTACTGCCTGCTTTAGCACGCTATCTCCAGTCCAGGATCCTCGTGTAAGACAGGCCTGTTTCGACTAAAGAGTTTTGTCTGCTGGCTTAATTGGGCCAGGCTGTATCTTAAAGAGAGATAGAATTACATATATAGATATGTAATCTAGCATTATATAATACCAGATTACATAAGAAGACAAATACCTCCTTTCTGCCCAGGCTCTCTTGGCACAAATTTACCAAGATTCGGGAAACTTTCTTCCAAAGCCCTCAAACCCATTTTCCAGAAGGGCAGACTGATGCCCAGAGAAGCAAATTGACTTGCCCTTTCCTAGATCTGAAGTTTCCTAGATCTGAAGTCAGGTGGTTGGGACAGGGGTGGAGTGGGTGAGAATGATAAAAATAGGGAGGGAAGTCCAAGGACAAGCAGGGGAGGGCTGTGGAGGACTGAAGAGTGGATGGGAAGGGGCTGCTCAGCCAGAGGAGCCCCCAGCAGGGCTGCTGTCCAAACCCCTGGCACTGTTTGTTACCTTCCTACTTGTTGGTTGGCTCTCTCTTCCTTCAACACAGAGGCACATGAGCTGTGCAGGGGTATTTTAATCATAAACTCTCTGATTTTGAAGCAGCATTGATCTACTAGTGTTCTGGCATTCTCTTCATGGTCCACATGCTCCTGGATTTACAAACTGACGCCCCTCCTCCTCCGTCTCCTCATTGCCCCTTCTGCTCACAGGCCATTCGAATCTGAATTTGAGAAGGAAGTTCTACTGGCCAGTGGGTATAGTCTTTCTCCTCCAGCTCTCCATATTCGTACTGGGGAGACTGTTTTGTTCTTCAGCATATATAGGAGACTACAGCCCAGGTGATTTCTTCCCAGTTGCCTGGCTCGAGACCAGGAGCCATCGAAGTGGGGTTCCTGGTCCTCAGCTCAGGAGAGAGCAGGGAGGAAGCAAGATGGTGGTTAGGACATGCCCCTCCAGGGAGGGTCAGGAGGATGGAGGAGACCGGAGGAATCCTGCAGACAATTGCTCTGGAGACGGGGGGAGGAGCTGCAAGGAGACCCCTTGTTGTTTGGAGTTCAGATCCTGTAAAATTCCAAAAAAGAGGAGGTGCTTGTCTCATTGAAAAGTCCTTGCTGCACTTTTTGCTTAGGTTGCTAAGATGTACCTACTCGGCAAATCCCAGTTGCCATGTTACTTGGGTATTTCAGTTCTGCATTCCTGCATGCTGGCATCCAGTTACAGCCCGGCAGGAACAGAGCTGCTCAGCACTGCTGGTGGCCCTGGCTCTCTGGCTGGATGGCTCAGCAGTGAGGGCAACTCCAGCACCCTTAGGAGCTCAGCCTTCCTGGGCCTAGGAAGGGGTCCTCCGGGCCGCTCCAGCCCCCTGCTGACTTAATGCACACAGGGAGTGAGGGCAGGAGCAGGCCCACGACCTAGGTGAAACCAAGTTCCCTACCAGTGTCTGCCTTGCACCTACCCCTACCTCTTCCCCTCAACTCTTTCAGGATGCCACCGGGGGACTGCTCCTGAAAGTCCCTTGGCCCTCCAGCTGAGGGTCCCTTCCTGGTGACAGCTTTTTAAACACTGACATGACATTTCAACTACAGAAGGACTCTCTGTTCATTTGAGCCATCCCCCTCTGTGGGTGGACAGGGTACTCCCTCTCTGCTCAGCACAGAGGGAAACTGAGGCAAGCATTTGCCCAGAAATTCAGGCCCCGGCTTCTGACCCTCTGCTTCCCCTAGCAGCCGCATTACCCATGCAGCCAACTGAGTGAGCAGCCTTCCAGGAATGCCAGGGTTCTGGGGGTTTCAGCTTGAGAATCCTCGTCCCTAGGAGTGGGAAGTTCTGAAGGGGGAAGCGGGGTGGGGGGGGGTGCGTATCTCACTCTCCCTGGGGCTGCATGCAGGATGGTTAGAGGGCATGCCTGAGTAGGGGCGGGAAGGCCCATTGGCCATGGAGTGAGTAAGTCACAGGCCTGTTTATCTCTACTGCCATCTCAAAACTGGGCCTGCAGCTGAGTGAGCCCTCCAGGCAGCGTGACTGGCTCAGAGGAGGGGAGGGGATGCCCTGAGCTGCTCTGGTGCCTCCAGAGGGACTGGGAGGAAAAATTCTGGCATCTCCCTGAAGGAGGCTGGGGGTGGGGGTGGGGAGAGGACACTAGCATTGAAGGGTAGCCATAGGCAAGCTAGGGCTTGAAAATCCACCACCAGGGAGGGAGGGAGGGAAGCAAAGGTAGAGGGCAAGAGAGCTGCCCCCCAGCTCTGACAAGTCCATTAAATTTTAAAGTGGCCCTGCCCTCCGGCATGCTGGGAAGGGGTGGGGACCTGGCCCGGACTCTGCATCTCTCAGCTGTTTGTTGTTCTGCTGCCCAGAGGAGGAGAGTGTGGGTGAGGAGTGAGCCTCCCAGGCGGGCTGTCCTTTTCCTGGGAGAGTGGGGACAGGCCTGGGGCAGATTCTGCCGCGGGATCTCTCACAGGCCTCCCCCAGCCAGAAGTCCGGTGGGAGGATGGTGGCAACAGAAGGCCCACGAGAAGTTCACGTGGTGCAGCCACTCCTTGCAGCCTGAATGGGCCCCCAGCTTCTCAGGCCCCGCAGAACGAGCGCCCGGAAAGCTACCCACTCCCTTCGCCCCCTCTCCACTCAGATGCTGGCTGAGGAGAGCCGCTGGCCCCGGCCCTCGGGGAGCTGGTGAGTGGAGCTGTCCTGACCACGACGCTCCTCTCCCTCAGGTCCCAATTAATGGATTCTGACATGGATTATGAAAGGCCAAACGTAGAGACCATCAAGTGCGTTGTGGTGGGAGACAACGCGGTGGGCAAGACCAGGCTCATCTGTGCCCGGGCCTGCAATGCTACCCTCACCCAGTACCAGCTGCTCGCCACCCATGTGCCCACGGTTTGGGCCATCGACCAGTATCGGGTGTGCCAGGAGGTAAGGCTGCAAGGCCGCTCGGCTGGGGGTCCGCCCTGTGTGTTTGGGCTTCTTCCCAAGCCACAGCTCAGTGTGTGCAAACACGGCCAGCCCGCCTGTGCCGAGCTCACGAGCTCACTCACGGAGGCCCCTGGGGATGGGGTGGGGGCAGCTGAAGAGGAAGGAGCCCCAGAAGAGAGGACCCCACCCCAGGGGAAGCCCTGGGGAAGGATCCTTCCACCCCAGGGGAAGGATCCTAAACCATTTGTGTTTTGCATGGCTGAGCTGGTGCCTGAGACCCAGGCTTTGCTTAGGGCAGGCATCTTGTGCAATCACAGCCTCCGGTAATGGGGAGGTGTTGGAGAGATGAGGGCAGAGAGGAAGAAAGAAGCTGTTGGCCAATACCAAAACCAGAGGCAGATGAAGCGGGGAACAGGGCAGGCCCCCTGAGATCCCTTCCACCCCAGGACAGTCTGCCCCCTCTGAGGCTCTTCGCTTCTGGCCAGCTTCGAGCCCACTCCTGCTGTTGGGTCTGCAGAGATGGCACCCAGACAGGGACGTGCTGGGCACGGCACACAGAGGGAGCTGCCGGGACCCTAGCCAGCTCTGTCCCTCCACCCCCATGCTGTCTGGGACCCCCAGGGATGAGCCGGCGCTACCCTGAGCTGACATGCAGAGGCCCCTAGAACCATCACCCCTGATTCCCGCTCCTCTCCCTCCCCGCCACACCCCACAGGTGCTGGAACGTTCCAGAGATGTGGTAGATGATGTCAGCGTCTCCCTCCGCCTCTGGGACACCTTTGGAGACCACCACAAAGACCGTCGCTTTGCTTATGGGAGGTGGGTAATGCCTTTGGGGAGCCAGGCGGATGGGTCTCCCCTGCTTTCCCAGGGAAGAGCAAGGCTGGGAAATTTCAGCTCTATGGAGGGAGCAGAAAAGGCAGCTCGGCAGACCTCATGGACAGGGTGGCGGGGAGGCAGCCCGGAGCCGTGGAAGGAGCTGGCTTTGGAGTCAGGAGTCCTGGTTGGACTCTCAGCCTTGCTACCTGTCAGCTCTGTGACTAGGCACAATTAGGGGAACTGTTCTGAATTGATTTTCCTCAGCCATGGATTGTAAGGTGGTGATTTCTAACCCATAAGATAGCCATGAGGTCAAAAGGAGGGTTTTCGAAAGCTCTAAAATGCTGAATTAGAGGTCTGTAAATTAGGGGTCCTGTTAGTATACGTTCTGTGAGCGGATGCCTATGACTGATGTGGGACGTAGTGTAGGGTGGGGTGGGTATGTATGTTCGTCCTTGTTCCCAGGGCAGGCAGCTGACCACCAGCTTTTCCTGCCTATAACCCCACTCTCCCACCCCCAGATCCGATGTGGTGGTTCTGTGCTTCTCCATTGCCAACCCCAATTCCCTCCACCATGTCAAGACCATGTGGTACCCAGAAATCAAGCACTTCTGCCCCCGAGCACCTGTCATCTTGGTTGGGTGCCAGCTGGACCTGCGCTATGCGGACCTGGAGGCTGTCAATAGGGCCAGGCGACCCTTGGCTAGGTAGGGGGTGCCATTGCTAAGGGAGGGGGAAGGAGGAAGACAGAGGGAGGGGGTGCATCTCCATGGCTTCCTGTTCAGCCCTGACAGAGTGTACTCGGCCTCACACCTCACCCTTGATTTGAAGCAAGCCATGCGGGGGCCCAAAGAGTGTCCACTCATTCATTCATTCACCCATCCATCCATGCATCCATGCATCTGTTGTACCCTTTGTGGGCAATCCTGGGCTGAGCACCATGGGAGGGAAGGAGAAAAGGTGGTAGTCTTTGCATGAAAGGGGCTTATGAACACACTGGAAGATGAACTCCATATATGGCTGTGTTAAAAACCAGCGTGGAACACTGCATGCTAATTGCCAGAGAGGGAGGTGGTGCTGCCACTGCTTTGAGCTGGGGAGGGCGGGTGGCTGGCATAAATACGGAAGGCTTCCTGCAAGAGGAGGGGTTGGAAGTGGGCCTTAAAGGACTGGTAAGATTTGACTAAACAGAGGAGAAAGGGCAGAAATCAGACAGAGACAGATCCTGAGCCTTCCCCTGAAGAACAGGCAGGCTGTGGAGAGCTGCCTCTCCCTGCCTCTCCCCTCTTCTCTTCCCCGGCAACATGTTTGGTTTTCCTTCTTGAACCTGCCAGGCCCATCAAGCCCAATGAGATCCTTCCCCCAGAGAAGGGTCGGGAGGTGGCCAAGGAGCTGGGCATCCCCTACTATGAGACCAGCGTGGTGGCCCAGTTTGGCATCAAGGACGTCTTTGACAATGCCATCCGCGCCGCGCTCATCTCCCGCCGCCACCTGCAGTTCTGGAAATCCCACCTCCGCAACGTGCAGCGGCCTCTGCTGCAGGCGCCCTTCTTGCCTCCCAAGCCGCCTCCCCCCATCATCGTGGTGCCCGACCCCCCCTCCAGCAGCGAGGAGTGCCCCGCCCACCTCCTGGAGGACCCGCTGTGCGCGGATGTCATACTGGTGCTGCAGGAGCGGGTGCGCATCTTTGCCCACAAGATCTACCTCTCCACCTCCTCCTCCAAGTTCTACGACCTGTTCCTCATGGACCTGAGTGAGGGGGAGCTGGGGGACCCCTCGGGGCCCGGGGGCCCCCACCCAGAGGACCACCGGGGTCACCCTGATCACCACCACCACCATCACCACCACCACCATGGCCGGGACTTCCTGCTGCGAGCGGCCAGCTTTGACGTATGCGAGAGCGTGGAGGAGGGCGGGGGCTCGGGGCCCGCTGGGCTCCGTGCCTCCACCAGCGATGGGATCTTACGTGGCAATGGAACAGGTTATCTGCCTGGGAGGGGCCGGGTACTATCTTCCTGGAGCCGAGCTTTTGTGAGCATCCAGGAGGAAATGGCAGAAGATCCTCTGACCTACAAGTCCCGGCTGATGGTGGTGGTAAAGATGGACAACTCCATCCAGCCAGGGCCCTTCCGGGCTGTTCTGAAGTACCTGTACACCGGGGAGCTGGACGAAAATGAGCGTGACCTCATGCACATCGCCCACATTGCCGAACTTCTTGAGGTCTTTGATCTGCGCATGATGGTGGCCAACATTCTCAACAACGAGGCCTTCATGAACCAAGAGATCACTAAGGCCTTCCATGTCCGCCGGACCAACCGGGTGAAGGAGTGCTTGGCAAAAGGCACCTTTTCAGGTATGGACTGTGCTCAGGAAGCGACTGCCGGAGGGCGGGGCCCTTCCCTCCCATTAGCCTTCGGAAGAGTCCAGGTCGGTCCCCTCAGCATTCTGAGTCATCTCAGTTGCTGATGTCCTGGAGATACGGTGGCCCTGCTCCTGAAGCCTCGTCCCCAAGCCTGAGAGCGTGGTCATGTTGCACTCTCCATGAGCGGCTTCAGAAGGAAGTGGGCTATCTGGGCACAGTGTCAGTCTTTGGGGTGGGTTCTCCCTCATTCTTTCACCACATCCTCACAGGATGCCTCTTCTCCCTGACAGATGTGACCTTCATCCTGGACGATGGCACCATCAGTGCCCATAAGCCCCTGTTGATTTCCAGCTGTGACTGGATGGCTGCCATGTTTGGGGGACCATTCGTGGAGAGTTCCACCAGGGAGGTAAGGCTAGGAGGGAAACAGGTGGGAAGGAGAAAGAGATCTTCACCCTTCCCACCTGAGGCATCTGCCATTTTTACTGGTACTTCCTTCAGCACTGACTGCGTGCTTGCCCACCGCGGAGTGCCAGACTCAAGACAAGTTTATGAACTAGGTCCCATAGCCAAGGATCTTATGATATTTCAAGACGGGGGGATCATAGTGACATCTTCACTTCATGGTGTAGAAAGCCACTTTGATATATTGTCTCATATCTCACCTCACACACAACTTCTACACATGGCTTCGTGTTCCCACTTTATGAGGAAGGATGAATCCATCACTGTTTTAAATGTAGGTCTTACTATTAATCAGGTACAGTGAAGCCCACAGATCAGGAGAAAATTGCCATTGGGCAGAGAGATTTTTGTACTCTCAGGCATAGGGGGCCAAACAGGGAAGCACCAGGGTCAGTCTGGAGGCAGAGGGAACAAAGGGAACAGCGAACAGGAGTCGTCACTGCATTTTCTATGTGAAGGAATGAGTGAGGCAGGGTGAGCAGGTTTAGGACTGGCCAGTCTGAATAATTTCAGCAGGCTTTGGGGCTGTCCCAAATGGTCTGGTACCTGGCCTTGGGGTGACTAGGGCAGGGGAGAGTGGCTGAGAGAGGGAGCCTGATAAAGAAGATGGCTGGGGTGTGGACTGGGTTTGGTTTGTTTGCACGGAAAGGCATGCTGACTGCCCCCTTTCCTAATGCTATGATCGGCTCACCCTGGGAGGGGCAGCCCCTCATGGGATCAGCATGGCCCCAGATGTCAAAGCAGCAGAAGACAATTTAAAAAAAAAAATGCTTCATTCACCTTTCTCTCTAATCAGCGCTGCTCCAGCCCGACTGTTCTGTCACTGTTTCGGCCACTTTCTCAGGCACTGAGACTAGACTGGAAACTCGGAGCTGGAAGGGGCATGTCAGTGCATCCTTAGAAATATTCTTTCACTCTGTTCTGTCCTTTCCCTTCTCGCGGCCGAGCAGGGTAGCTCAGGCTGAGGCCCTTGTTTTGTCCCTTTTCCTTGAACTCCTATATTGTTGGTTGTCCGCGGTCAGCCTCACAGTTCCCAAGGTCCAACTTTGTGCAACTGCCTGAGGTTCTGAGGGTCCACACACTGTTTCCTCACCTGGTCTGGGATTCCTCTCCTCCCCACCTCTCCCCAGCCCCACTCCATGCTGGTCCGTTAGTAAGAGCTCACCAAACACTTGAGGGAAAGATGGGAGGACAAACAACACAGGACAGCCTCCTGTGACATAGAATAACAGTTTCTTTTTTCTTTTTTTTTTTTTTAGATTTTTATTTATTTGACAGAGAGAGATCACAAGTAGGCAGGCAGAGAGAGGGAAGTAGGCTTCCTGCTGAGCAGAGATGCTCCGCCGCTCCATGCAGGACTCGATCCCGGGACCCTGAGATCATGACCTGAGCCTAAGGCAGAGGCTTAACCCACTGAGTCACCCAGGTGCCCTTAGAATAACAGTTTCTTAAGATTTCTGGGAACAAAGTCCTTCCGGAAGGCTCAGTGGAGGGCTGAGCTATGAGCTGGTCTCTGATCCTGAAAGCATGAGTGGATTTGGCTTCTGTGAGTGTGAGACGAGGCGCTCCCCGGAGCCCGAGGGGCTGGCTTGCCCTAGGCACTTCTCGGTACCATAGAAGCAGCCTTCAAGCTCCAGATGACTCCCATGCAGCCCGGAGAGACTCGTGTCTGATGAGAAAGCAGTTTCTGTTGCAGAACTGCTCAGAAGAGATCCCGGGGGCCCAGAGCAGCAGCTGCAGGCAGCCAGGGAGAAGCCAGCTGGGGTTGGCTTTGCTCCTTCATAGCCCTCTTGCACTGCCCTCTGCAAGGCCAGGAGGGGGCCCCAGGGTGGGTTTAGGGGGCAGGAAGCACTCCTTGAGACACCTTGCAAGCCAGCACGGCTTTGGAAGCATGCCAGTGAGAATCCAGGTCCTTTGATTTATTTATTAAAGATGTATTTATTTAGAGAGAGAGAGGGAGAGGGAGTGCACACAGTGAACCTGGGGAGGAGCAGAGGGAGAGGGAGAGAGTCTCCAGCAAACTCCCCACTGAGCGAGCATGGAGCCCGATCTCACGACACTGAGATCACGACTTCAGCCGAACTTGAGAGTCTGACGCTCTACCCACTGAGCCACCCAGGCGCCCTGAAAAACATCCTTTTGAAATGTCAGAGTGCCGCTGACTGGGGTGGTCAGCACACGGGCTTGGTGTAGGTTTTGCCTTGGGAGACAGGCCTCGGGGGGCCTTCGGAGCTGGTACAAGGGCAGCTCAGGGACAGCTGCCCATCCGGGGGAGCCAGCGAGAGGGTGGGGGTCGTTTTGAGTTTCCCCAGCCTGAGCTCGTCCTTCCGTGCAGCTGGGCCTTCCTGGGGCCTTGTGTCTCCCTTCCCTGCAGGTGGTGTTCCCGTACACGAGCAAGAGCTGCATGAGGGCCGTGCTGGAGTACCTCTACACGGGCATGTTCACCTCCAGCCCCGACCTGGACGACATGAAGCTCATCATCCTGGCCAACCGCCTCTGCCTGCCACACCTGGTTGCCCTCACAGGTACACGGGGACCCCTCTCGGGGAGAAGCCCAGGAAACCCACCTCCCCGAGGTCCTGATGTCTCCTCTCACCTGCCTCCCTCCAGGGGACAGGCTGCAAACAGCTGGGACGATGTCGACATAAAGGGAAATACGTCGATGAGCACTGGGGTTTGGGTGAGGACAGAGACGTAAAGAAGCGCATGTGAGAGGCAGGATGGTGTCACGTGATAGGCTCTCCGCAAAGGGCTCTGAGCCCCAAAGAGCGGTCTCCAGTAGACGACAGCGCTGGTGTTCTGTCTGCTTGGCCGCAGTGGGGCGAGCTGAAGTTGAGAGGAATTGAACGCCGTTCTCCTTGCTCCCCTTTGGTTCTCCTCCTCCTCCTCTGCCTTCTTTCCTCTTCCTCCTCTTCCTTCTGCTCTGCTTCTTTCTTCTTCCAAAAGCAGACACTAAACATCACTCCTAGGTCCTTGAAAAGCCCGGGAGAGGGTGAGAGGCGGAAGGCAGCTTTTAGATCGGGCCACCTGCAGAGGCCCTGGGGAGGAGCAGGACCCGAAGCCACAGGGAAACCAAGCAGCAGGCAAGGAGGGGCAGGTCAGGGGCCCAAGCGGCCGGAGAAGAAGAATGGTGCCATCCAGATGAAGGGAGTCTGGGACTAGCGACGCGGGCAGGCAAAAGGCTCCCATTGATGTTGGAATTGGTCTTTGCATGGTGTTGGTGCTGGTCCCCGTGCTGCTGTTGATATCGGGGTCTGTGTTCTTGGGCAGGTCAGGGCACATAGAGCAGGGCCTTAGATACTGAGTTGGGATTCAGTGAAAGACCTAGCATGAGAGCTGCTGGGGCTCCAGACCCATGATCAAGACTGGGACTCACATAGGAGGAAAACAGCAATACCATGATGAGAAATTAGTTGTTTATTTGTTTTTGTCTTTAAGGATTTTTTTTTTTTTTTGACAGAGAGAGAGAGATCACAAGTAGGCAGAGGCAGGCAGAGAGAGAGAGGGGGAAGCAGGCTCTCCGCTGAGCAGAGAGCCCGACGCAGGGCTCCACCCCAGAACCCTGAGATCACGACCTGAGTCGAAGGCAGACACTTAACGATGGATCCACCCAGGCACCCCAAGAAATTAGTTTTAAGTTGGGGCTTGGTCATAGGAAGATTGAAGAAATCATTGATCAGAATTTGAATGTGAAGAGCTGAGCCTACAGAGAGAGTCCAGGGGCCCTAGTTGGAGACACAGAGGGCTTTAGGGTAGGGAGCAAGAGAGAGGCTTCTAGAGATCACAGCTGAAACTGTATGTCCACCAGAGCTGCCTCTGGAAGGTGGTGTGTTCTTCACAGAGCACAGACAGCTTCCAAACTCTTGGACCAACTAGTTCAACTTTTGAAAGACTGTCTCCAAACAAATGACCCAAAGGCAAAATACATATAAAGATGTTTCTGTAAGTTTGCTTTATCACAGTGGGTGATCAGAAACAAGTCAGCTGTCACAAATGTTCAGCTGCGCCGCTGTGTGGAGAAGCTTATAGAAAATACCCACTGAAGGACTTTTCCTGGGCAACGGTCCATCCGTACTACGAAGCACGCAGACATAGGTCGTGCACGTACCTTGTCAAGGATCGGCAGGAAATGCTGAGCATGGTATAATTGGTGATGCTCTAAGTTTTGGGAGATAGGCTTTCTATGAAGTTATTGATTCAAGCTTAAAACTTGTTCATTGTTCAATAGAGTGCCAGTGCAGGAAGCATATGTTCAGCTTTACGAATTATTACAGAGTCGAAGTCCCAGATCAGGAGCTGGCACCTTGCCAGCCATAGCAGAAGCCCTCTGCCTGTCCCCGCCAATCAGAGGTCCTTCCCCATCCTCAGGAGGAACACTTTGCCTATTACTCCTTTGTCAGGTAGACTTTTTATTGGCCTCACTTTGTGTTCCTTATAGTTTTATCTTCTGTGTGTGAATCCTTAAACACCATAACATGGTCTTATTTTTTAAAAGCCTTTTAAATTTCTTCTAATCTAAAAGTGCTTGTCCATTAAAACTTTTTTCCCCTTGCAATTTATCTATTGGAAAAAAACCCATTGATGTTCCAGAAAAATCTAGATTTTTCTCTGATTGGCCGTTGGATCTAGAGGCTAGATCAGATTCATATTCAATTTTCTTTTGCTCAAACTACTTCTTAGGTTATTCCAGTTCTGTTTTGTTTTAAGATTTTATTTTTAAGTAATCTCTATACCCAGTGTGGGTCTTTAACTCACAACCCCGAGATCAGGGGTCATGTGCTCCACCAACTGAACCAGCCAGGCGCCCCATTTCTGGTTTTCATCCAGAAGCCCGGTCTCTTTTTGTGATCTTTTTGTGATGTTAGCAGCCACTGAGCATCATTGCCTGGATCCATTGGTTTATGAGGCATAAAGTGATAATATTCCAATTCGGTCATTCCTTATCTTTTGGACTACTCTGAAAAAGAGCAGCTTCCCCTCACCTGACTTTGCTTACCCAGTGGTACGGTTCGTATAGGAAGAGCGGATGAATGCTTGGTTGTATCCTTTCATTTACTGGTTTTTGAGATTCATTTTTTTCCCTTCACCCTTTGAGGGTGCCCGATTAGTTTTTGCTTTTAAGTATTACTACAAACATACTCAATTGGTTTCAAATAATCACAGTCATCTTCCTTGAAACTGAAATACCACACTGCACCTTTTGCCAGCAGGAGTCTCTTCAAGCTGGCACCAGAGTGAGCTTTCTGGTTATGTGGTATAATAAGATGTTCCTGGTTCTTTTTTTTTTAATTTCCTGGTTCATTTTATACATCTGCCCCAAACCTCGAATTAGTCACTTCTCTAAGAAGTCTGTTTCTTATAGTTGGGCATGGTATTTCAAGGCTATAATCTGAGCACTAGGGATGCACATTACTACTGTATTGTTTCTGGAGCTGGGAAATAGATTTTAGTTTGTTTATTTGAGAGGGAGAGAGAGAGAGAGCACATTAGGTGGGGGGCAGAAGGAGAGGAAGAGAGAAAAATCTTAAGCAGGTTCCATCCCCAGTGCAGAGACTGACGCGGAGCTCGATCTCACGACCCTGAGATCATGACCTGAGCCAAAATCAAGAGTCAGATGCTTAACCGACTGAGCCACCCGGGCGCCCCCGTGAAGATAAAATGCCTCATGAGTTTATACTGATACAATCAAACTTCAGGATTAAAAGCGTTTACTTCTTTAATGTAAATGTTTTAAAATAAAATGTAAGGTTTGTTCACAATTTGTGGTCAAATTTCAATGAACACAAATAGCTAGACTCACTCCATAGTTGTAATTCACAGTTCTCAGCAATCCCGAGTTAAACCCTCTCCCGTCAGTACCAACGGCTGGTTCTGCCTAGGGCTTTCACCCTCCATATACCAGACCACTGGGTACAGCGAATGCACGGAACAGTTCTCCTACGTGGTTCTAACTAATATCTACCTCCGCTTCCCATCCCCACTCTACTGGGAAAGTCCTGCTGTAATCCCAGTTTCCCCACTGGTGGAGCAGACTTGAGTCACGTGTGGGCTTTCCTGGCCTGCTGGGACTTGCCACTGGCCCTCCTCTCTCTCTCTGCCCTGCAGTGGAGCCCGGCTGGAGGGATAGGTGAGGGCATGTCCATTCATGTGACTCTTCAGCTGATTCCTGACTGTGTGTGTCACAGAGCAGTACACAGTGACCGGGCTGATGGAAGCAACGCAGATGATGGTGGACATTGACGGGGACGTCCTCGTGTTCCTAGAACTGGCTCAGGTATGATGGCAAGGGAACGCCTCTCGCCAGCATTCTTTCTTTTTTTTTTTAATATTTTTATTTATTCATTTGAGAAAGAGAGAGACAGAAAGAGCACAGGCAGAGTTGAGGGAGGAAACAGACTCCCCACTGAGCTGGGAGCCGGACGTGGGGCTCGATCCCAGGACCTGGATCATGACCTGAGCTGAAGGCAGATGCTTAACCATCTAAGCCACCCAGGCACTGCTCTCTCCAGCATTCTTGACTCTGGGCCCTGTCTGCCCACTGGTAGTGACTGACGAAGGCTGGCAGGTGGTGGGTAGGAAGGGAGCCTGCTGTTAGACTTGGTTCCCGGATTAAGCAGGGCCCATCTCACGCCGAGAGGAGAGGCTGGCCATTGTGGGAAGGTCTTGAGGCATCGTAGGACCGTAGGGCAGGGGACAGAAGCCCAGTGTTGAGTGTAAACGTGGTTGCAGCATGCCTGAGGTCATTGAGGACTCTTCATCTAAAAGGAGCTGCCCACTTCCTTATTCCCAAGCAGACAAGCAACGCGTCCCACACGGCCCTCCAAGTGCAGAATTCTGCCCCCAGAAGCCAGCTTCTGAAGCAGACGTTGTGGCTTTGAGGCACGCAGACGCGGCTGGGGAAGTGGGCTCGCTAAGCCTGGCTGTCTGCCCCTCCGTGCCGGCTGCCTGGCGGGTGGAGGAGGACATCTGGTGGTGGGGATCTAAGGAGGACAGACACAGATGGAAGGCACCACACACATCTGTGGGTTTCTGTTGGTGCTGGGGACAGGACCGCAGTGACGTGACAGTGGCGTTGGTGGGGCAGGGAGCAAATTCAGGGTTTTCTCACGCTTTTGTGTGGGTTTGCCTCCTGAGATGGGCTCATTACAGCTGCGGGGCTTTGCCCCTCTGCACAAAAGCTTTGGCTCTGCGGACAGCTGTGGGTTTCCGTGCAGACCCCACACCCCGGGCCTCCAGCAGAGGTGCCCTTCTCTCTGTCCCCAGTTCCACTGTGCATACCAGTTGGCCGACTGGTGTCTTCACCACATCTGCACCAACTACAACAACGTGTGCCGCAAGTTCCCCCGAGACATGAAGGCCATGTCCCCAGGTGAGCATCTCCTGCAAGACCTGCCCGTGCTCCCCACCACCCCCCTGCCCCCCATGCTACAGGGCGTCCAGAAGCGGCTGGAGATCCTGGGGCTGTACTTGAGCTCTTGGGTGGGGTGAGCAGCTGGCAAAGGTGTATCAGGCCAAACGGAGGGGATCCCGGGAAAACAGCAGGGCAGCTGGGGACCTCAGGTGATCCACTTTACCTCTCTGGGTGTCTGTTTCTCACAAGTACAAGAAGGTGTTGGACTCCTGGTATCTTTTTTTTTTTTTTTCCGGGGGTGGGAGT